ATTGGTTGTTGATGTGACGGCCTAAGGCAGGTCGTTACACCAAGCACAATCATCCAAAAACAACAATGATGCCAAAAAATCACTTTTGAAAACAACAAATTCATCACCTTATCCAACCATAATCCAAGTCTTCTAATTTAAAGTTTCAAGCACTCAAACATGAAAATAATGATCAAAATCTACTTTATAACTATCCTAAACATAAAAACATGAATAAAATTAAACATCTAACTCGTACATATTTTCTTCCAAGATTTCTAACTTTTCTTGCATTTTTTCTTAATTTTTCTCTTCTTACTCCTTCTTCTTTCTCATATCTCCTTCTCTTCTCCTTCACTTCTCCTTGTCTTCCTTTTCTCTTAGAAATTTTATGATCTCTCTCCTTTCTCTCTCGTGACTATGGGAATTGGAGGTCTTTGAGTGAGATTGGTTTTTGTTTTGGTTTTGTGTAAATTTTAAGTCATTTTTTCCTTTATTTCTTGTCTCCACCAACTTGGTTTAATTGTCATGTCTTGGTAAAAAAATTTGACCCATTTTGTGGTGAGACTCTCGGTCAAATGGCTTCCCAAAATAAGTCACTCTTTGATTTTTCTTAGTCGGCCATTTGTGTAGAATTTTGTGATATTTTCTAGAAAATTCTAAAAATATTTAAATTATCTCACAATCTAATTAGAATTAGGAGAAACTAAATTTACCATTAAATTTCTCACCCTCCAAAAACATGGGATTATGTCCCTTAATCATCTTCTAATTATTTTAATTAATTAAAAATGACTTATATTTCACAATTTGATTGGTTGAAACTTATATTTTATTTTTTCTTTGTTAGACAATTTTATTAATTATCCTAAATATAATAAAATTTATAAAATCATATGTCCTATTGAAATTTTTCTATAATTTTCTAACAATATTTTTTTAGCATAATAAATTTTCTAAGTTAAATTCTTAGAAAATTTCTATGAATTCTAATTTTGAGTTTTTCTCTTTTAACTATATTTATTTTTAATATACTCTCAATGAACTATCATTTAGGTTACAGATCACATAAATATTCTTATATCTAGTTTCTCACATTTTATAGTGTGTGCACAATATTGTTCAAAAAATAGTCAAATTTAGCTATAAAATACACGTCGCAAAATTTAGAAAATTTTGTTGGATAACATTAGATAAATTTCATTCACTATAAACTTACATAATATTTATTACATATTTATTATAATACAACATATAATAATTTACAAAAGGCATACAAATAAATAATTAAAAAAATTAGGGTGTTACATGATGTAAGAAAAGTCGAGTACAATTTATGTGAGGTGTTCATGGAGGAGTTTATCATTTGAAACATCATTTAGTATGAACAACCAAAGATTGTAGAACATGTAGGATTGTCCCTAAAGATGTTATGAAATAAATGGTGGCTATTATTTCATCATTGCAAAAAAGAAAAAACGCATAAAAATATCTAGTAACATTGAAAGAACAAGTAGTAGTTTTGTTGCTCAATCAGAAGAAGTTAACAATAGTATCAGTAATAGTAATCAAAATCTATTAAAGAGAAAAGTGAGCTCTCAAATGGAAATCAACAAGATTTTTACAAAGGATTTGAGGGAGAAAACATGTTAGGACATTACACTTTTTTTTTACATAATTTTTATCCCATTTAATGCCACCAACAATGAAACATATAACAAAATGCTTAAGGTAGTTGCCTAACATGGTATAGAATTTGATACACATCCTACCATGAGATTAGGGTGAAATATCATAAGATTATTGGAAGAAATTTGATTGATAATAGGAGGAAGACTATATTAAAATTTTTAGTATATAGTTCACTTGGAACAATTTTTTTTTTTAGACTATTCATGTGTCTAACATATATGCAAGACAAAATTTCAAGATGTTAGACGAAGTGGTTAAAGAGATTGACAAAGAAAATGTTGTCCATATCTTCACGGATAATGCAACAAATTATAAGGCAACTAGGCAAATATTGATGAAAAAGAGAACTAAGCTATATTGAACATCTTATGCAACTCATTGCATTGACTTGATGCTTGACAATTTTGAGAAAAAGTTATCATTTTATAGTGAGACAATTGAAAGTGGTAGAATAATCATATCATACATATATGATACAAAAGTATAATTGTTTTATTACATAAATTTATTAAAGGGGGTGACTTGATTATATCTGACATGTCTCATTTTGCTACTTCTTACTTAATCGTTAAATGCTTGAATAAGAATAAGGACCTATTAACAAAAAAATATTCACATATGAAAAATGAAATTCTAATTAATTAGTAAAGGTTGAGGATGTGGAGAATTTGATTATAAAAAAAGATTTTGAAAAAAAGAGATTTCATAATTGTATAATTCTATGAGGATATTTTCATAAAGAAATGGATAAACTAAAGAAAAGATACAAAATATTTTTAGAGAACATGTAGCAAGTAATTATCCTCTGTGAGTTTCATTTTATAAAATATTTACTTTGCCTTAAAACCATTTTTTTTTCTTTGTAACTACATCCATGAAAATTTATAGGTCGATGAGATATTTTTATGTTGCAGATTACCAATATGCATTATTCCTTATTAAATTTAGATTATTTAAAAAAAATATTAAAAATATAAAAATTTGATGCAAGTGTTTAAAGTTACACTAATGTTAAGGAATCTTAACTTATTTTAAAATTGAAACAAATTGATAAAAACTTTTAAAAATAATCATTTCTTAAGAAAATATTTATTATATATATATATATATATATATGACAAGTGTCCCTCAATTTGCATATCAATCCAAGATTTTAAATATCTGAAATTCATTAAATATATTATGTTATGGATAAAATTGGCTGGAATGACCACGTGTGACACTTGAATATTCATCGTCATCCGACAAGAAGAAAGAGACGCCCCATATCCAATGCTTTCACTCTCACTCACTCAACACCATCATCTTCATTAAAAGCTAAATCCTCCATTTTTCATTTCCCTTCATCCACTTTCTTTTCCATGGCCACTCTCTTTAACTTCCACACCACCCTTCGCCCCTCTTCTTATCTTCCCTCACCACCCTCACCCCATTTCTCAAAGGCACTTTCCACAACCTTCTTGGGCCCCACCAAGAGCCTCAGATATGTCATCACTCCCACGAGCAACCGTGCCCGTTCATCACTCTACGTTCGCATGTCATGGGACGGTCCTCTCTCTTCCGTCAAATTGATCATTCAGGGTAAAAATCTCGAGGTATGCTATAATGCTACACTCGTGTTTTTTCCCCCTCTTTAAAGGAACAATTTTGGAAAGTTTTCTTGAACTTGACCTAGTAATCTAATCTGGGTTAGTGTTTAGCTCACTGATGCAGTGAAGCAGCACGTGGAAGACAAGGTGGGGAAAGCGGTTCGGAAGAACAGTCACCTAGTGAGGGAGGTTGATGTGAGGCTTTCTATTCGAGGAGGAGGTGAATTTGGGCGAGGACCCAGAACACGTAGGTGTGAGGTGAGACTATAAGCATTTTCAAGTTTCAATTTTGGCAATCTGGGGTGGGGTGAATTCATTGCAGCATTACACACACATGCCAATTGGGTTCTTTAATTCCGGTTTGTGTTAGGTGACTTTGTTCACCAAAAGGCATGGAGTGGTGCGGGCCGAGGAGGATGCAGAAAGCACCTATGGAAGTATTGATTTGGTGTCATCAATCATTCAGAGAAAGTTGAGGAAAATCAAGGAAAAGGAGTCAGATCATGGTCGCCACATGAAGGGGTTCAATAGGTTGAAGGTTAGGGAGCCGGTGGAGCAATTACCTGTGGAAGAGGATGAAATATTATCCCCACAGGAGGAGGATGAATCAATTGACGAGGTCAGTTGTTTGTTGGTACTTTACAGTTATTGGTTTCCTCGTTTCGTTACATTGTATCTTTGCTTTAATTCATTTGCTTTACTATGCTTTCTTTGATTTCTGATTTTGCATATCTTGAATTGGGTTCATACGTGCATTGGTATTCATTTTTTTTCAGAAAAGAAGTTTGAGATATTCTCCAGTACACCTTTTTCCTCCTCCAATAAACATTTAATGTTAGATTGATATATTCTAGAAATATAAGTGAAACTTGTTCTACATACGCAGTATAGAAAATTTTAAAGTGTTTGCTATGTAATCTGCTGGTAGATACAGTATTGCTTATCATGAGATGGTGCTTTTCTTTTTCATTCCTTACATTGCTCCTACCCAAATTGTGAGCTATCTTACAGGTTGTCCGCACAAAATACTTTGACATGCCACCATTGACCGTGTCTGAAGCAATTGAGCAGCTCGAAAATGTTGATCATGACTTTTATGGTTTTCGAAATGAAGAAACTGGTGAGCAATCTTTTGTTTGACTTTGTTTCTTCCGCTCCCAACAATTATCAGTAATTTATCTTCTGCAATCCTGGGAATTAAATGTTTTTCCTCTGCTTCAGGGGAAATTAATATTGTGTACAAAAGAAAAGAAGGAGGATATGGGCTCATTATACCCAAAGGAGATGGTGAAGCAGAGAAATTGGAGCCTTTAGTGGTTGAACCAGCTAAAGAACCCTCCCTGAAAGAATGATAGGCACCTACAAGAAACTCTTTTTGTAAGAACACAAGAGCTTGTACATGATTAGCGGATACTAATGGTGGTTTCTTGGAGCCAGAAGTGCATAGAAATTTCAATGGAGGCTCTGACATTTTAAAGTGCAAACGAAGTTTTAACTTTTAAAGTATGATGTACGCTTGGATGTCTAGCGATTATAAAATGAATGTGATGCACCATTTTATATGCGCTTTATATAATGTCTATTTGTCCAGAATACACCTTTTATCTAACAATGCCACACTAGTTTTCATCATTGGTTTTGTTCTGCTTCATGTCATGCCTATTGTTTATCCAAATCACGGCATGAAAAGTTAATTGTTTGTCTAGCAAATTTTATTGCGTGTTGTGTAGAGTTGATTAGGCAAATGTTGGCTGCCAAGAGAAATTCAAATGATAGGGTCACAATCAAACCCGAGAGAAGTTAAAAGTCAGTTTATCTGGTTGTAATGCCATAATTATGCCAAGTGGAGGATCGACAACACCTTTATATTTTAAGTGCATCGTTCCAACATTTGTGACTATTCTAGTTATGGTTGTTGAGTTTCCAAGGGATGGAATGGTTATTGAAAGTAAGAGGTCAATGTGTAGCATAGTGTTAATTGGGGCAGGACATGGGGAGATTGAGTACTGTTGCCCATAGACATGGTACAGTTGTATATGATCAACTGAATCCATGTGATACACGAGCAGTGCTGACATTCTTGGATTCATGATTCCATATTCAAAGATTAATGATGTTTAGATACCACTACATATCATTCACTCAATAAACGCTTATTATTTCCCTTCCTGTCTCATCATATTATCTATCACACCTACACTTCTCGTGCTTTACCTTTCTAGGTGTTGAATAGAATTTGGTATCCACTAAATTTTCCCGCATTCAAATCCAAATGGATTTCTAAGTTTCCTGGGCTCTCCCTTCAACACGTTGGTTCCGGGTGAATATTGCTTTTGCAGAGTTAAATGCTGCAAGATTTGAAAATTTCTTATAGTGAATAATCAGGTAAGGAACTTTAAGCAAAAACTGTTTATTGTGGTTGATCTACGAGCAGCTGGAGCGTTTGAGTAGTATGTAATATTCCGTTCCCTCCTGCCTTTCTCCACAGAAGCAAAGAATATACTATGATCCTCTGCAGTTGCTTTTCAAACTGCAAGGAATTTCAAATATTCCGTTCCCTCTTGTCTTTTACAGTAATGTTAATGAAGGCCATTAGATCCAAATTTGCACCGGGTGCGGTTCTTTTTTGGACTGCAAGAGATCCAACTTTTCGGTTAGTAAGAGCATGTATATGATTGCATACAGGATTGCAGAGTAGTTTGAGTTGGCATTTTTTTTTCTTCTAAGAAACGGTATTAGATAAGAAAATGATGCTTATAATAAAAATGTGCGAGATTATATAAAAATTAAGATGAATGAGATATAAAAATGTAGAATAACTTGTGTGACAAAATTCATAAATTCAAGTTGAAAAGAGAAAAGTTGCTTCAATTAAGAAAACTAGAAACTAGAAAGAAGGGATTTAGTAAAACTAGAAAGAAGGGATTTAGTAAGACACATGTTAAGCAACTTTAACAAATGTCATCGTTAAACATACTTGAAATATCTATTAGAACTTAAAAGTAGAAAAAAAAAAAAAAAAAAAAAAAAAAGCTAGCTAGCTAAAAATTATAAAAAGAAAATAAAAAAAAAAAAAAAGCTAGCTAGCTAAAAATTATAAAAAGAAAATAAAAAAAAAAAAAAAGCTAGCTAGCTAAAAATTATAAAAAGAAAATAAAAAAAAAAAAAAAGCTAGCTAGCTAAAAATTATAAAAAGAAAATAAAAAAAAAAAAAAAGCTAGCTAGCTAAAAATTATAAAAAGAAAATAAAAAAAAAAAAAAAAAAAAAAAAAAAAAAAAAGCTAGCTAGCTACAAATTATATAAAGAGAATAATAAAAATTGAGAATTGTACTTATATAATTTTTTACCGAAAAATTGAGCAACAAAAAGAGATCAAAATAGAATGTTTAATATAATAGAAATAAAATGAGAAAAAATAAATGTGATAGACAATTATTGTGTGAATGATATCTCATACAAAATCTGATGACAATACAAAACCACAAACTGAATTACTCGTTTAATTGGACAGCATCCATTCCATTGATTTGGCTACTTTTGCATGAAACAGCATTGCATCTTTCCTGTAGTGACGCTGCTTCAAGAAAATCAACTAATGGTTTGTATATCCACTGCAGTTGCCAGTGAAAAATAAATTTGCAATAGAACAATGTTGCATCTAAAACACCATTGACCACAATCACCCGCGTTTATATTTGATTGCATCCGGGTCAAACTTCAATATTTCTCCCCTTTTCAACGCCAAAGTATTCCAAGTGTTATGGAAGTAGTATGACTCTTCCCACCCAGTAATGCTTCTTTGAGCCACAAGGAATGAAAAACAAGGAGCATCAAAATTGACGCAAAAAAAAGGAAAATAGATTGAGTATTTCACCTTTTATGTTACTCAAGTTCATCTATGGCATGGGCCATTTTTCGTTTGCCACTGAATCTCTCCTCGGAAACAGCTAAAAGCTTATTGATAGACATTCCCGCCCCTCTAACACTCTTCTTCACTTCATACCTATGCTTAATCCTGTCATCAAACTTGTAACCAAGGAATGCAGGAAAAAGCAGCAACTCCCCAATGTCACGGCCCATATCCTCTATCAGGTACTCCATCTTCTTCTGCAAAGAATCGTGGTTATACTGCAGAATCTGCGGCTGCTTCTTGCTCATTGCAACAATGTCTTCACACGTAAACCCATAATTCAAGTACAAACCAATAACCTTCTGCATGTTCTCACAGTTTGTCCTAGTAGCAGCCCTAACCGCCATTGCCAACTCCTTTGACCTATGCCTATACCCAATCTTGACCAGCAACACCAGCTTATATGCAATGTTCTCATGGAACGAATTGCTTAGAAAAGTTGGCGCTTTAACCAAGAAGTTGAAGATATCACCCGAATCCAACCCACATTCCTTGAGAAACCGTATCCTAGGACGCAGTTTCCTCTCTCTGCTAGCAGTAACAATAGCCGGGAACCCCAGTATTATCCTAAATATCTGTCTGTCATCAAGCTCCACAAAAGATCTCAGAAACCCTACATGTTCCTCCACATGTTTCTCACTATAATTCAAGAAGATAGGGAACCTAAGCAGCACTTTCTTAACACCATCCCTGTCTCCATCACTAAGCTCCATCAAAAGCTTGACTCTTGGAACAAGCTGAGTATCCAAATCATGGTTCAAAACGGCAGGGCGCTTGAGAATCAAAGCAATGCCACCAAAGGGTTCTAAGAAAGATACAATTCTGTGGATATCCTCAACCGACCTTTGACACAAGGCCTTTGGCAGACTCACGTTGTTGAGCACGTGCACAATTTGGTCAACGGGGATTCCCCGGTCAACGAGGGTTTGAACCTTGTGGGGAAAAGTCTCAAACAGTTTTGGGTCCGTAGCGGAGAAGAGGCGATTGAGTTGGTGTTTGTCGAGTTTTCCTTGCAAATTGTCTCTGAGAAAGGTTACCAAAGGGTCGATTTGGTGAGATGTTAAGAGGGTTGGGCGCTTTGTGAGTAATTTGCAGAGAGTGAGAGGGTCGAAGCCGAGAGAGCGCAGAGAGAGAATGCGAGCGCGCAGTGATTCGATTGAGACGGTGGTTAGGTCGGGGTTGTTGAAGAAGAGCGATTGGGTCTCCGCAGAGCCGATTCCGAATTGTTGAAAGAGAGCAATGAAGGACGCTGAAAAGAGGGAAGTGTAAGTGAATGTGTTTGAGAAATTGACTGAGAGAAGTTATTAGTAATTGACCCACCGAACTCGGCGTTGGCAATGGCGACGGTGCGGCGGCGGCGAATGGAGTGCTTGGTGGTGGACGGTTGTGGTTGTTGGGTGACGGAGAATTGGGCTTTGAGTTTGGGGTGGGAGGGTGAAGGGTTTGGAGGGTAATGGAACATCAATGGATGAAGAAAGGTGGTAGAAGATAGAAGAGATGAAGGGTTTGCGAGTGGCGACAGCGACACCATGTCTGCGACTGCCAGGGATCATAAATGAACTAGTTTACGTATATCACAATCTTATGTGAACAAGTTAGCAATACATTTTTTTTTTATTTTTTGGTATAACGATGAAGAAAGGTGGTAGAAGATAGAAGAGATGAAGGGTTTGCGAGTGGCGACAGCGACACCATGTCTGCGACTGCCAGGGATCATAAATGAACTAGTTTACGTATATCACAATCTTATGTGAACAAGTTAGCAATACATTTTTTTTTTATTTTTTGGTATAACCACCCGGTATCCGAACCATAATGGGCCGACTAATCCGGATTCGGGGCGGGTCCAAGGATTACGGTATTTAAGCCCCTCCCAATCGCCGTTGTGGGGGATCGATCCGTAGACCTCCCTACCAAGTGCAGCCCCATGCTACCACTGCACCAACCAACGATTGGTACATATCATATCCAAAGCAAAAGTCCTCTCCCTCAAATGGAAAGGCACAACGAACACATCTTCACCGGAGGCTCTCAAGACATGAATGTGTCAACATGTAGTATCCCACCGTCTCAGAACCAAAAACTTTCGACCCCTTTGTAATTCTATGCTCACACTAGACGAGCGAGTCAAACGAAAAATTATGACCATGGAAAAGCTTGACTTTGCCACATGCTACTGCCACCCTCGCCATAGAGTCCCTTACCAAGTTTGAAGCCACAGAGAGGACGGCAAACATTTTGTATTTAGGCCAAAATAGACATTTTATAGTAGAAAATCAAATTAATATAATAAGAAAAATTTATTATTAAAAATCTAATTATAAATCTAATCCATTCATTATTTTATAAATATATTATACGAGTTTAGAATAACTTGGTTCATGAGTGAACCACATTCACAAGATATATTTACAAACTTTTCCAATGAACCACTTAGAAATGGGATTCAGAATAGATTTAGGTTGGACCAATAATGCAAGTGGTGTATCTATGTACCATGAAAATTGACCGTAGATATAATAGTAAAATAATAAATAGCTGAGATATTTAATCTATAAATTTTTTATGGTTAAGATTTTGAAATTGTAGATTAGTCCTTTTGTTTTTCTTAATTGTCAATCTTTTTTAGGGTTTTGTTTTAGGGTTTAAGGTTAAACGCGAGGGTTGCAGCGGAGGGAGAGCTTGGTGAGGACGAAGCGAGAGTCGGAGTCGGAGGGGAAGCCAGTTTGGAGGGGCTTGAGGTAGTGGAACTGGGAGGGGGAGGAGAGGAGCGAGGTGGCGGCGGAAAGTTTGTAGCAGTGGAGGAGGACGAAGCAGAACATGGCGAAGTGGGAAGCGAGGGAAAGATTTTTGAAGCAGCAACAAATGGCAAAGTGGCACTACTCTTCTACTATTTTATCTTGGTCTTCGTTTTCTTGCTACAGCTGGTGCAGAGCAGTGAAATGAGTGGCTTCCTCTTGCTACATTGTGAGGCGATGGGAAAGAAGGTGAAGGAAGACTCAATTTTTTTGATGTTGGAGGACTAACATATAATTTTTATAAAATTTTAATTGACCAGATACTTCCACATTTACCTACTATTTTTCCTTGTGTACCTATGCACCACTTGTTCAACATACCTATGGTAAAATCCACCATAGATTTAGCCATTAATTAGAGATGATAGGGGGTGAAGTCTCCCAAGGACCACTAATGCAAGTGATGCACCATGCACCACTTTTATTTACCATTAGATGCATCCAACCTATTAGCATATTATACACCCTATCACACAAGATCTAAGTCTCTGAATTTTTTTACTAAAATAATTTTAAAAAAAAAAATTACGAAAAAGCAGTTGTTCCAATTTATTTAAGCTTTGGAGTTCACGTTCAGAACGGACCGTTCTAGATTAAAAAATAATACATGACGAATGGATCAAAATGGGCCGTTCCAGATGAAACAATAACACATGACGAATGGATCAGAACAGGTCGTTCTGATTTCGGAACGGGTCATTCTAGTCAAATGGGTCAACATATGGAAAAACAGACATGAGCACACATTGATCGGTCATCCAATGCAAGGCCCATTGTTTCACACACGATAATACATGAAATGGTACATGGCCAATTCCATCTATTTGCTATCTATGCCACGACTACTACAAGATTCAAGGACCCATCAACGACGAAGGACTTCCACAACATTTGAAATTGGTGCAACTTTCATGCAATCGTATGAAGAGACTCATTAGCATGTATCAAATCCTCCACACAACATCACCCTATAAGAAAACATAATTGACAGAAGGTATGCAATCAATGGAAAAATAGAAGAATGTAGAGAAAAAATGTGTCCACACCCATCAACGACGAAGGACTTCCACAACATTTGAAACTGATGCAACTTCCATGCAATCGTATGAAAAGAATCATTAGCATGTATCAAATCCTCCACACAATTTCATCCCATAAGAAAACATAATTAACAGAAGGTATGTAATCAATGGAAAAATAGAAGAATGTAGAGAAAAAATGTGCCCACATATTGCCAGCCTCATGAGATGGTGTTGTGCTATAGATGTATTAGAAGAAATGAAGTTTGCTTAATGAGTACTCCTTCTAACTTCTAAAACTTCTAATGTTAAATTTCATGGTATTTGGTAGGTTTAGGTTTTAGGGTTTAGGGTTCAAAACATTCTTATGCTCCCAAGTATTTTCCAACAAGGTTCTATCATTTTTATTTTCATTATTATTTTATTTTATTTATTTTTATATGCATAAAAATATTTTATTCATTTTCGACTCACTGTATTTTGACAAATTATGAATTTCACATGTTATTAAATTATTTTTTCAACTCAACTACATATTTGTCATAAAAACATTTTTTTAGCAAAATAATATTTTTTTCATCCTACTAAATTACATTTAAAATTTAAGTATAATTTTTCAATTGATAATATTTTTCTAATAGAATTAGAGGTTTACATTAATTATATGCGTAAATTTCTAATTCTAATTAGAAAATAATACCAAACAAAATTTTCTACTATAAATATAATTTTCTCTCATTTAAATCATTGCAAAAATTTGTTAGTTTTAGTTTTACATCTCGATATTTTCCTCTTAAAAAAATGATGTTAATAAATATTTTTAAATTTGATTTACATTAGTTTAATTACTTTTAGGTAGAGTTGTGAAAATGGGCTAGCCCGGCCCACCTCAACCCACTTTTTAAGTGGGCCAACCCGGCCCAGCCCACCAAATTTATTATGCAAATTTTTCTAGCCTGGCCTAGCCCACCACGGGTTGGTAGGCTAAACGGTTTGCCCACCAACCCACCTGATTTTTTTAAAAAAATATTATAATTTAAAATAAATTTCAATATCTAATCTAAAGTAAAAATTATCAAATTAAGTATTATGGATACAACATTAAAATTAAATTAAAAAGTGTACAACTTTAAAAAATTAAAACAAAAAAATAAAAATTCTTTCATGAGAGTGATTATTCATCAATATTAAATTTTATTGGAGGTTTGGGTAGATAAATTTATACTAATTTCATATTGTTTAGCATTGATTTTATCTTTATCTATAAAAAAAATGATATCTTATTAAAATAATGCATATATAATAATAAATAGTTAAGTGAGTTGTTAGTGGGTTAATTTGATGGGTTGGTAAGTGGATCAGGTGGGCCGGCCGGGTGGGCTAGATCGAAAGTGGGTCGGGTCACATTTTTTGACCATCATAAATTTTTTCATTTTTTGGCCCGGCCCAGCCCGTTTTCAAGGTGGGCTAGGTTGACCCATGGGTTGGAGCCCACTTTGACAGATCTACTTTTAGGGTGCATAGACTTTCGTCATTTTGTTGCCAATGCCACAAACATTAGGCATGAATTAAATGTCACCTAGTGTGAGGAGAGATACTCATTTTCTGTTTGGATTTGCACTGGGTGCTAATGTATGTGGCGTTGAACATGAGTTAGACAAAGGCCACCTGCCTGATCAAGGTCGGGCGTGAGTTTTGCCATACCAGACATATAACAAAGTTGTTATTGCACGTAATATCATGTAAGGGATGTTTTTGTATTGATTTGCTCGATGTTAAATGATGTTATACTTCTGTTTAATAATATGCCATTGCTTCTGTTGGCAGGTATGTTGTGGGACAGTATTCTCAGTTTTTAAGAGCTCATTGGACGTTTCTAAAAGCTGTTGAACTAGCCTAGCTTGAGAACCTAAGACAAATGAATCATTCTTGTAATACAATTTTGATATATCTAAACTAATAAATCCATATTCATCTTTCTTGTATCCTCTTCCCTGAATTTGACTATGACAAGAAGCTTCAAACCAATCTCATTTAAATAATATAACAGAGTTATTTTCTAAATACTTTATTTCCACAATATTCCTTATTATCCCATAATAATCTGTATCTCCTGTCAACTCATCCCCTTTCACTATCACACCACTGTTTTGGGTTTTTAAATTTTTCTCAGCATCTTTTGTACGAAATTTAAAACCATTAAGAATGTATCCATTATGATTAAGTACTCAAAAATATCGTCCACTAGATAATGCAACTAGTAGTTGCTTAATAATTCTTACATCATAGAGTTGTTGCAATCGCAAAACCTACAAAAATATTATTTAAAAGTTATAACTCATAAAAGTATATATCATTTCATTACAAATAATTTATTACCTCATTTTCAAACCATTCATGAAATTGATCTTTGTGCCTCTTGTCAACATTCCTATCATTTTCAACTCTCAACTTACTTATATGCTCCCTAAAAAATGTTAAAAATTATTTAAAAAGCATAAATTAATATAAATAGTAATTTTATTTTTTGATAAAAAATAAGAGTCGATATACTTACTCAATCCAAGGTGTAACTTCTTCACAATTTTGTAATATATAAAAATGAGCTTGTTGAATTTCAGAAGAGCTCATAATTTCCCAACAACTTCCTCCAAGAGATCGACCATTATTTTTAAATACAGACAAACCAATGCAATCATCACTTGCACATTCCATATATCTATTTGGTCGATTCAATCTTGAATCCATATCAACCAAATATCTAGCACAAAATGTTATAGATTCTTCAGCCACATAGGCTTCTGCTATGGAACCTTCTGAACGTGCTTTATTGCGTACATAACTTTTTAATACATGCAAAAATCTGATAATAAATAAATTAGTAAAACTAATGATATTGAGAAGTAAAATATATTATAAATATAAAAACTAAAATATTATCTAAACTTACCTTTCAATAGGAAACATCCATCGATATTGAACTGGGCCTCCAAGTTTTGCCTCATTTGCCAAGTGAATTGAAAGGTGAATCATGACATCAAAAAATGATGGTGGAAAAATGCGTTCTAGGTTACAAAGGGTAATTGCAATATTCTTCTCTAAGCGATCTAAGTCATTCATTTTCAATTCTTTAGAGCACAATTCTCCAAAGAACAAAGATAGTTCGATCAATGGATCAAAAGCATCATTTGGAAGCAACCCCTTTATGGCAAGGGGAATAATTCTCTCAAGTAGTACATGATAATCATGACTTTTAAGTCCTGAGATCTTTAATTGACTTACATCTATGCAACGACTAATATTTGAAGCATATGCATCAGGAAACCCCACATCTTTTAATATTTGGCAAAACTTTTCCTTTTCTACCTTCGACATTGTGTAGCGTGCAGGAGGAATTGCATATTTATCCCTATTCTCAACAGGATGAAGTGACTTTTTGAGACCCATGTGTTTTAAATCAAATCGAGACTTCAAGGATAAATGATAATGCATATAGGCTATATTTAATTTTTAAGTATGATGTTAGTAATACATTTAACGTTTGTGATCTTTTTCCTTTTGTAGGTTCAATTGACACTGATGATGAGGGGCTAGATCTAAGGCTAGATCCTTCTCAAGAACGAGGGGATGATGGAGGACCATCCTTGTAGATCAGGACCTTTAACAAGATCTATGGTTAGGAGGTTAGAAGAATTGAATGGCAGAACCAGGCAGCCGAATGCCAATCGGCCACCTGGATTGGCCTGTCGTCACTTATTACCTTTAATCAAGTAATTAGGGGTTAATTAGTTGATTAGGGTGTATTACCTAATACGGTAAGTATGCTGTGAGGCCTAGGGGGTCCGGGCCCATAAATGACAGTATAAATAGCTCAGGACAAAAGGTAACATCACTGTTCATTAATTATCCTAGAGATTCGAGGTTGTCCTGACTTGAGCGTTGGAGTGCCTTTTGCAGGTACCAACCCCCTCTTCAGCGTATCGGATTACTGGATTGGGAGTCTCGTTCGGCCTTCGGACTATTAGAAGACTTAGTGTGCCCTTCAGACAGGTACATATATATATATTGGGTGCGAGATAAAAGAGTGGGAAGCTCCAGAATCAAACAAAAATACTACATCCTTACCAGCCGCTCTGCCCTTTCCCTTCACCAGGTCCGAAGAAGTTGAAGCCTCAGCACCGGTCAAAGCAAAGACCCTACCAGCTGTGATGGGTCTGCCACCCCTCTGAGCACCTCTTCTCTAAGCATCACTCCTCTCTGGTCTGGTCCTGGCGGGGTAGTTGGAAGATACATGGCCCATCTGTTGGCATCTGAAACACCGATTCTCTGTGTGGGGACAATCCCTGATCATATGGGACCCACCACACCTGTAACATCTCAGGGCAGCACCTCCACCCTGTCCTCCACTAGCAGCAGCACCAGCAGGTTGCCTGATGACAGGACCCCCTTGATGTGGTTGGGGCCTATCATATGGCTTCCTCTGACTCCCTCCTTTCTTGGACCCGGATGGCCCCTCAGCAGCCTTCACCCCGCGGTTACCACCTTCCAACCGCTCAACCACCTTCGCCTTCTCCACCAAGGCTGGAAATTCAGTGATGGCCATAGGCACCACCACTCTCCTCAGATCATATTTCAATCCCTCTGCAAACTTCCGACACTTCCAAGCCTCGGCAATGCCTTGCGAATAAAAACGAGCTAGGTGCTCGAACTTCATCGCATAATCAGAAACGGTCATCCCTCCTTGGTGCAAGCGCATGAACTCAGCTTCCTTGGCATGTCTTACACTCTCAGGGAAATACTTCTCCAAGAACATCCTTCTGAAGCACTCCCAGTCCACAACCACCCCTCTAGTAGTCAGCATATGATGGGTACCCCTCCACCAATGCTCGGCTTCTCCAACAAGCATGTACACCGCGTATGCTAGCCTCCTCTCTTGAGAACATCCCAACACGGTGAAGATCTTCTCAAGCTCGCAAATCCAGTGGTCAGCTACCTCTGGATCTGCCTCTCCCTTGAACTGAGGAGGATGGCACTTCCGGAACTCGGCCAGGTCCCGGCTCTCCTGCGACCCAGTGGGCCTTGCCGCACCAGCTGCAGCTCTCTCCGCCTCCATCCTAGCAAAAGAGGAATTTTGCTGTTGCATAGCCATGGCCATCATCTCCATGGCCCTGGCTATTTGTTCGTTGGCTCTAGACATTGTCTACAAAAGCAACAACACCTTTAGCAACAATATCTAAACCAAACAACAATTCAACGACACAACAAAACACCACAACAATCAACACAGCAATCCACACATCAAGGCATCACAACTCAGAGTTAACACAACAAAAGCCTAAGGGAACCACCCCCAAAGAGTGTCCACTAGACTCGAACTGCTCTGATACCACTAAAGTGTAACGACCCGACAGGTCCTACACGCGCCACTGAACACCGGAAACACTAGGCAGAAAGAACAAGTATATAAATATAGGTTCTAGAATATAATTATATACAAAGTCCTACTCTGACTAGGGTTAGAGTGCAAAAAAAAAAACAGTACCAAACAAGATACAACGCCAACCGCTACACCTAGTAGCCACTACAACAAAACACCAATCAAACATAGCCAGCTCCGCCTACCAGCTGCCTACTCATCACGAACCAAACACCTATTCCTGTTCTGCTCCCGTACATAGTACGATCATAGCAGTCCAACCACAAGGAAACAGAAAAGGGTAAGCTAGTATAGAAAGAAACAACGTATAACAAAATTCAAGTAATTAGAACAACTTCAACCGTCAACACAACAACATTCTACTATCCATTCAATTTGTGCAACCAACCAGCAATTAGATATAAATGCGTCGTCACGCATATCACCTCGGAGATTCTCCTACAACAACTCTGCCGTGAAGGCCTACAACAACTCAGCCATTACGGCCTACAACAACTCAGCCATTATGGCCTACAACAATTCATATCAATATTCAACACAACTCAACTTTTTCAACTCAATATATCATCTTGCAACTCAACACAATTGTACAACTCAACATCAACTTGCAACACAACACAACTTTACAACTCATCAACATACAACACAACTTAACAACATACACTCAACTTATCAACATACAACTCAACCTATCAACATACAACTCAACTTATCGACATACAACTCAACTTATCAACATACAACTCAACTTATCGACATACAACTCAACTTATCAACATACAACTCAACTTATCGACATACAAATCAACTTATCAACATAGGATAACATAATTCAATACATAAAAGGAAATGTCTCATCCCCGCGCCCGGCGCCCTCGAAGTTGCGCCCAGCGCAGTACAACCAAAGAGCCCCAGGGGGCTAGCGCGCCCAGCGCAAGCAGGCTCACGCTCAGCGGGACTCAGCCAAAGAGCACAAGGCTCTCCCGCGCTTGGCGCGATACTAACTGCGCCCAGCGCAGGCCAGACAGAGACTCCAAGGAGTCTCACGCACCCAGCGCACCTAACCCAGCGCTCAGCGCGGGAAAGGCAGAGACCACCCCTTGGTCTCACGCCCAGCGCAATTCGGAATTGCGCCCAGCGCCCACGAGGCAGAGACTCCCAAAGAGTCTCACGCCCAGCGCGACAAGGGCCGCGCTTAGCGCAGCCTCTAGAGCCTAACAGCAAGTTACAACGGTATCGCGCTTAGCGCAGTCCAAGTCGCGCCCAGCGAGGGCCAACCAGAGACCCACATTCTCAAGCGCGCCCAGCGCACTCATCAAGGCGCTCAACGAGCTCGACTAAATGAGGTCCCCTGGCGGTCACGCGCTCAACGAGATGAACAGCGCGAAGCGCGAAGCTCATCTGCAACCCTACCCAGTTCGAAAATTTCCCCAAACACCTGTAAAAATCACTTTCAAGTACATGCAATCCAGCCAAAGTATCACATGTCCATCCAAGAGTTCGAAAACGGCATTTTTTCATACATGCATCCACAAATCAAATAAAAACCAACAATTTTGTCAAAACCGCAAAATCCTCAAAACTCAGTATTTCCCCCAAATCAGCCAAGAATCTGACAATCTTTAACAACCCAATGAGTTCTCAAACCCATTTCAACCAAAACGCAGCAAGAAAACTAACTTCCCTTACCTCGGGCAAGATTCCGAGCTTCCGGGAACTTGAACGAAGAAGAAGAAATGAAGAAGGAAGAGCTTGAGGAAGAATAGGGTTTCACACGATTCAGCTAGCTCTCCTCAACTTGATCAGCCCCTACACACCCAGACAATTTGAATCCAAAAGCCAGAAATCGAGAGTGAGGGCTGAGTAAGAAAGTGGGTCAGCATAATGAGTGTGAAGAAAATGAGAGTTGAGTGAGAAGAGTGTCCAGGAAAAAAGAAAAGGAAGGAAAAGGGGTCTCACATAAAATACAAAATCTTTAAAGTTTATTATTTTTAATAAATTTCAGTGAATAATAAAGAGTGTTAGTGAGAATATCACTAACATTATTTTTTTACAATCATGTCTATCCTATTCTCTTCTTGCCAACTTTTAAAATTTATCGTTAATTTTTTAATTCTTTCTACAAAATATAATAAAATGTTTATCATATTCTTTTCTTGCCAACTTTTTAATTTTATAGTTGAATTTCTTTTAATTCTTTCTGCAGAATATAATAATACGAATCGATTCAGACCGTGCTTACGGGTAATTAACTAGTTCTAACATAAATGTACACACTTGAACAAATATAATTCCTTCAATTTTAGACCAGACATAAATAATGGCAGTCCCACATACAATTTTTATTGTCTTTTGCTTTCATAAGATCATCCCCTTTATTCCGTATCATGAAATAATCTTAATCCCTATTTTTATTATGGCAACATAAAGTTTAAATTTGACCAATGGGCAATGGCAATCTACATAAACCCCAAGCGACCGACTCATTTTGAATGGTTTCAGTTGAACATATAGTAATACAGTTTTAAAAATAATTATTCCAAAATATAAGCATCTATCTAACATGAAACAAAATATCCCTAACAATAAACGACGAATAGAAAAGCAACTTATGGCTTGCAAATATATTGAAGAAAAAATGTTTCAAATTAAGAATAATGGAACCGAAATTTACAAAGTTAAATATTTTGACACTACAATGGATGCTTAGAACTCCAAAACCAAGCTCTTTCCAAGAGGACATAGTTTTTAATTGATAAAATGTCAATCCAAGACCAGTAGTGCCACCATCAAATTGCACAAAGATGAAGCCTGCATCATAACTTGCCATAGCTAACTTAAATTTTCTAGTTAATGACCTGTAAAGACTTGAATTATTTTCTCTCCTTGTTACACTTTGTTCTTTTTCCTTTGCTCTTTTTCAAAGCGAGGACTTTTATTAAAATGACAGATGTGTTTTCCTTTCTTGAGTTCTTGGAAGACCTGGAAAAAAAAGAAGAAAAAAAAAAGAGAGAGAACCTACAAGGTGTTATGACATATTTATAGTCAATATAGAAAATAAAGTATATGAATAGAAGAAATGAAAATAAGATTGACGTATCCTGACTACCTTGTAGTCTAGTTACATCGATCTCCTTTCCTTTCCTACTCTTCAAATACTTGCAAATCAGAAGAAAAATCAGTAACCATAAGCAGCTCGCAGTAAGTACACTTGCCTCTTTTTGGGACAAGGCTTTAGATAACCTTTTGTGTTTTTGCAGGCTTCTCTACTCTAATGTTGATTACATTGTCCCTGAACATGACAGCATAAGAAATATAAAAATTCTCGGGACTGCACAATTATATGTACTTGAAGCAAGTCAAGTTCAAATCTAGGAAATTTGGATATTATCTCCATGAAATGACCCAGAAAAAAGAACAGTTTTTTATACTGATTGGCTTATTGTAACTTATTTCAAAGGTGAAAAGCATTGCACAATGCATACAATCACTAGCTTCACAACCCGAAACATAACATGGTTCAGCATTATATATTTATATATAGAATAATTTATATTCCATTACCTTGAGGTTTATTTATTTGACACTAAACTGCAAACTAACTTCAATATTATACCCCACCCCATTTGAAGTAGCTAATAAAATATAATTTCATTAATCATCAACAACCTTTAAATTAAAGACTAATTTAATTTCATGTAATTTCTATTTGTTGTACTATAGTTGCATATTTTGGTTAAAAGTTTTTTTCCAATCTCTTGCTTGTAACACCCAAAAAGGTACCACTTGTACCATGTCTTGGTGTCATTTAATAAAATTTTCAGTCTTTGGCCTTTCACAAGAAAAAGTTAAAATATGTCTTAATTATAAAACATATAAATCATAATGAAATAACATATTTTCATAAATCATTATATATTTGGTTGAATTCTTTTCATTTGTCTTTTTTCTAGTAGTATTTAGACTTTTTTAATTTTCACTGGTCCTATCAAAACAATTTACTTTGGTAGTTCACATATAGTATATGACATCTTAAAATCTAAATTAATTTGTATATTTACTAAAGCATTCAAGGATTGAAAATTCATTTCCAATTGCTAATTTTAATTATGCACCCTCTTCCTTTTATTGTCATCTACTAGTCATTGTGATTTATGTCAATCTTCCATATTACGTGAAACAAAGAAATATGTTTATCTTGTTAGCATACTTTACACGGAAAAAAAAGGTATCAAATCCATAACGTACTAACAATAAGGAAAAAAACTCAACACAATAAAAATTCTAACAATAGTAGTGCTAATTTAAGTTTCTAACATACTAAAAGTAGAAGAAAAAACTCCAAAATGACCTTACTTCATATGATAATAAATAAATAAATAGGGTAAGTGTACAACATTTGTTAATGTTAACTTTTGTCAATTAAAATATTATGTTAATATATATTTAAAATTCTATTACTGAATTGATACAAATGTTCATATTATATTTGAATAAATTTAGAGTTTAATGTCATTTAAACAAACCTTAAGGCAGTGGATTTTAATTTACTCTATATATATTTATCAGCATATCAATTATATCATTTATATGAACTGGTAGAACAAAGAACAAATGCAAATGTATCATATTTTATGTTATTGGCATTACTAATGTAGAAACAGAATTAAAGAACACAAAGGACAAACCAGTATTCATTCTACGATGTCTATCATTAAGCAGTTCCCAAGCAACACAAAGCACTTTTCAACAGCTGTGGAAGAGAAAACTAGCTTGCTCTCAATTTTCCAGAACAAGACAACATAGAGATATCATGCAAAAAAAATTTCAAAAAGCTTAAGGGAGATTTAGAGGGATATCGTGTAAAATGGTAATATCAAAACAAACTGACCACCAAAAACAGAATTTATATAAATCTAATCGTGCAAGGGTATGCAGATTGAAGTACAACAGACTCCATTTACTGAAACACACGTAAATTCACGCTGAATTGCAACGTGTGTGTCAACTTACTTAAAAAAATATAATATTATTGTTGGGATTTAATGCAATCGTTTCTCTTCCGTGAGAAGGGACAATTCAGGATAAAATTATGAATGATGATTAATTGTCTCACATGGTTGCGTGTGAATAACTTGAGCCATTTGAAAGTTTAGGACAGACTAGTTTTATTTGTTTTAGTTCATTACCAAGGGGTATTCCCCATCAAACACAAAGACAATCTCTCTCGGGAGTTTGACAGACACCAAATAGATGGACATCTTCCCTCAGCTTGAATTTTTTGCATTTGTAAGAGTCGGGATTCAATCCCTCACTACTTAATTAAACAACGTAAGTCTTTTGTTACTCATGCCAACCCATGTTGGTTAGACAGTCTAGTTACATATACACTGGCTTATAGGGAAATAGTAAGATGCATGTGCAAATAATATTACTCTAAAATTAACTATGAACAGCATAAAATAAAAGTAACATAGAATACTCCGCTTTTCAGAGGGCTTTATCATTTATCTTCAAACACAGTGAGAAGCTTTGCATAACAGAGTCTCCTAACGCTACCAGTAAAATTAATTATCATGAAGTTATCCTCTCATTTTAATTCTGGATGTCAGGTGGTGTTGTCAAAGAACAACAGTAGTGTATGTGGTTGAAAGGAATCATCATCATACTTATATTTAAGAGAGTGGACAATACAAGTGATATTAACAGATTTACAAACCAATCTCAATAAAAATAATTAGGAGGCCATAAGCACCACATCAACCTCCAGCATTGTAAGGCGACACTTGCCCCTTTATAGTTAGGTATATTTTTTTTTTATATTTTCTCAATACTAATTAAGCAGCAGGGAAAATGTAAAATGGTATGAAATGATGCAAAAAGTTGCCCTAAAGGAGCACTCTGACTCAATTAGTAATAAACCTTTTATTCGACACTGCGTGCTTCAATAAACAGAAGTTCTTAAAACATATACCATCATGTCTGTGAGCACCCAATTATGCACAAATTTTTACCAAAAAAAAACACAATTTACCCATTTGAGTACCACAAACATCTAAATGTCACAAGAAAATTGAACTGACATCTCCGATATTGGAACCTAAGCAAAATAACCACACTAACATACTAGACTTCAATAGCTAACAGTATTAAAGTTAGGACAAAACTTAGGTGGATATAGTTGTTGTTTATCAAAATTGAAGTTTCATTTTGATAATGTATGTAATAAATTGTTCCATTAAATATCAACACGTATTATCAAGGTAAAACTCTAAGTTTAATTGAAAAAATACTACCAACAACATCTATTCTAATTCTAATACATGAACACACAAGCACTCTTAATTAAAGATTATACATCTAAACATGGAAAAGGAATTAGGTCCGAATCTGTAATGAGAGAATTATTATCACGCTATTATTTCTTAAATAACACCAATATTTCTATCATATACATAATTATATAAGTTGATAGAACATTTTTAAGGGTTTACCCTACAGAAAGCATGCCTTAGCAAGTTTAAGAACAGAAGTCAGAACAGGAATTTAATGATTAAACAAGCCTAAAATAGAAGTAGTACCACACCTCCAGTAAAAAGAGAGATGAAGGAGGAAGATAGATCCATGCAATCATAAAAACTAAATAGGAAACTCAAACACTTTTCCACATTGCACTAGAAGTTGCAACTATATATATTCTTCACGAAATCGCTGTCAAATCAAGCTAAACCTTCCGTACGTGAGATGGCAAATCCATCAGAAACAGCTAAACGAGCACTGACATTACCATTCCAAACCCCCACCAACACAAATCTTGGACCAATCCACCGAAACCAACATAAAATATAAAGGCACCAGCATTTTCCAAGCATGCGATAACGATGCAAACAACACAAACCATCCCAAAACATGAACACAGAATACAGAAACACGAAAATGAAGCAAGTGGAAGCTCCTAGTACATGACAAGAGTAACACAGTTCAAAAATCGAACACAATCCAACGATTCAAGGCACAACAAAGCTGAAACCGCGAGACAAATTATTGGAAGGATTGAAGCAACGTATGTGCAGAAACAAAAGCCACGTACGGTCTTACTTGGAGGTCTCAATTGCATTGAGATGAACGTCACAAGGCGCGAGAGTGGAGCTACTCTTCCTCTTGGCGGAAATTTTGGTCTTCGATTTCCTCTCTCTGACTTTCCAAACGTTGTTCTTCCTGAACACGAATTTATCCACCTTCCACCCGGGGCAACTCGTGTCAATCACGGTTACCTCGCTCTTCGTGAAACCCTTCAACTCGTTCCCCTCCTCGTCGTCGCCGCGATCCGCCGCCGCATCTTCCTCCACTTCCGGAAGCGCCGCGTCGGCGCTGGGAGCGGCGGAGACGACGTTGGAGGTGGTGGCGGCGGCGGCGGAGGAGGAGGAGGAAGGGAGGAAGATTTTAGGGTTGGTCTGTTTGCGGGGGCATTTTTTGTAGGTTTTAGTGAGAGTGGCGCCCATGTTGAAGAGTTCGGCGAGCATGGTGGTGATGGGCTTGGGCTTGGGCTTGGGCTTGGGCTTGGGGTGGAGTGGGGCCTGGGAGGGAGGGTTTGGGGGGAGGGGCCGGGCCTGGGGGGATTGGGAATGGGCGGTGAGGAGGAAGGAGTCGAGATCGGGGTCGTCGCCGGTTGGGATGCCCTTGCTGGACCGGAGGCGGTCGAGCCAGTTTAGACCGGATTTTCCGGTCTGAGCCGAGCAGAGCATGGTGGGAAGAATCTGGAGTGTGAAGTGAAAGTGCAGAGAGTGTGTGAGAAAGGGGAAAGAGAGAAAGGGAGTGCGCAATGCGCGTCTGTGAGTCCACGTGGACGACAAAATGACACTGTTTTAAAATTCAAACCTCGGCTGAGCGTTTTTTCGTATGCAAATGCAATTACCCATAGGCAATAGGCAGCGTTGATTGATTGCTTTTACCTTACCTATCCTGTGTGCACACTGCACACAAACAAAACAACAATAGCTGTATCATATGCATACCAAAAACAAAAACTAGGATTTTGTGAATAAAAAGTTAAAACCTACGTGGATGCATTGTGAACCACGCCACAGGATCGGTACTTTCTGTTTTACTCTACGCCTTCCCCACTATTATAAATAAAAATCTCAAAATAACTGAAAGATTTATCACTGCATTACTGGTATTTTTTTTATCTGTCAAAATTATAAAACTCCAAAATATACATTCTATTCAAACTCCTGTTACATGACACCACTCTTGGTTAAGAAAATTAATAAATAAAAATAATTTAATTATATTTTGTACTCTCAAATTTTGAAACTTAAGCTATTCTTATATTTTTATTAAAAATATTAATAATGTGATAATGTGACATGTTTAACACAAATTGTAAAAGTCTCAGTTTTTTTAAAATATAATTCGCAAGAAAAAATACACGAAAAGTGAAATTTGACAAAAAGGCAAAAGTTTCATGTACAAAGTATAATTGTAATTTATTATTAATTTTTTAAAAAAAAGACATCACTCACAAAAAAATTAATATAAAAATTCGGATCATAACATGTGAGAATTTTGTTAGTATTTTGATAGAATATTAGTGGGAGGGTACAGATCACTTAAGTTTCAAAGTCTTGGAGCATAATTCATCAAAAAAAAAATATATATATATATATATATATATATATTGTACGGATAGGGAGGTCGGCCACCACTCTGTCGGCCATTGAATGGCAGAACCAGACAGCCGAATGCCAATCGGCCACC